GGCACCATGCCAAGCACATTACAGCTCTAAGAAATGGATAGGGAAACCAAGGCATGGGAGATTAAACCATTTACCTAAGGTCATATGACAAGTGAACAAGTCAAGACAGAATTCAAATTCAGACTAAGATGGTTCAGAATCCACACTCACACCTATCATATACATTGGTTCTGTAATAATATCTAGTTGCAGCGTCTAGTTTTACATAACTCAGTCTCCTATGAAAAAGGGCAAAGAGAGAAAATGTTTCCAAGGCAGTCTGACAGAACAATGACATTTCCCTTCCACAGTGAAGCTGACAGCTATGGCACAGTCCACTCATTTAGCAGAGAAGGTAGTAGTCCAATGACCAGAGCAGTGATGACTCTATTCTGATTTCTAGGAATAGATTTTTTTTTTAAGTTCTAAAACTAGGATTTACTCAGAAAGGTAAAATACTCAATAAAAACTGCAGGTTGCTCACTCTTTTTCTCTCTCTCCTTTGAACTTTAAACTGTTTAATGAAAAGAAAATAATAGATAAATGCTCTCAACTGCAAAAGTTCATTGTTCAGGGGCAGTAAATGTTAATATAAAATGAATGGAAATCTTAAAATAAAAGTCACTAAAACCTGTTACCTTGAGAATGCATTTACTGCTTGTTGATGATTATCAAGAGCTAAACCAATCAGATAGAAGCCTACAGCCTAATGGCTCAATATAAGATAGAGTCCAAGACTCAAAATGATATGTTCTTTATTTGCCCTGGACTAATAACAGTTTAAGCCAAAGATTTTAGATCTTCCAGTAGGAAAATAACTATTGGTGAGTGGAGTTCAAAAGTTGAAAACAAACAGTAATAATCAGAAGTTGGAAAATGTGGCCTTGCTAATAGGAACAATCATGACTTTGCATAATAGAACTTTATTCTATTTTACCGTATATACTCAAGTATAAGCTGACCCAAATATCAGCTGAGGCACCTAATTTTACCACAAAAACTGCATTTAAAACGTGCTGGGGGGTGGAGGGGAATCATATCCTC